AGGCTGTTCAGATCACAGGTTGCTTCCTTTTTTCTTATAAACCATTTCCTCACAGTGTGCCCCCTTTCAGCTCTCTCCTCTGGGGTTTTAAGTGACATTGGACCAGTAATGATTTTTGGGGCACCCTGCAGGAAATAGCCCTGCTCATAGATACCTCTTCATTATCAGTTACATTTTGAGATTTGTCAATGAGCTAGATTTTAATCTTAAGCACACTCTGTCTATTGTGCCAATGCTGTTGGCACTCTGATTTAATGATAATGATGGTAATTAAAAAAACAAAACATTCTGCATATGGTTTGTAAAAGAGTCACTATCTATACTTTAAGCTGCTGGCAGATGTTAAAGCAGTTATGTGTTTGGGGTCTGAGGAATTTTATGTCCCATTCCCAAAAGCAGCTGATTGTCAGGATCTAGATGGGGCAGCCCCAGGTCTGGGACATCCCACACATTGAATTTCAATGCCACACATTGGATTTCAAACCAGCAAACCAGCCATACAAACCAGCCACAAAAATGTTTCACATTTAAGTGGAAGATCTATGTGTGGTTGGCTTGCCATTTTATGGTACCAAAAATTGGCCTGCCTTGTGTTATGTTGTATATATGTGGCAGAACTACATGTAGTGTTTACCATGGCCCTTAGACATGAAAAAGCAAAATAAGAAATACTTGTACAAAAATCTCCAGCTCATTGTCCTCAACTCTCTTGAGTGTCCTTTTGGTTTCAGATCAGCATCTTCTTTGGCTTGTAAAGGGTGTCTGAAGAATAAGGGGAAACCAGAGGGAGCCCATGATGGTCCTAGTATAGTGGCAATGTAGTTTATAAGTTCCGACCCAATGTATTTTGTAGTTGTTTTAAAGGTGGTGAATTTCAGAATCTAGAGAAGGAAAACTTGTTATTGAGCACTTGCTCTTCTACTTCATTTATAAATCAAGTGCAGGTTATTTTCTTTTTAAAAACCTGTTTATTTTTCATAGCTTCATTGTTTTTCTGTTGCTGGTTCTAGTTGTATACACACTGGTCTTTAGTTCATGCTGATGTGCTCAATCCTTTCCTGCAGAAAGAAGAGGTTTTCATTTACCAACATGGACTATTCTAAATGATTAGGAAATAGTGTTGATAAAGCAGAGTCAGAAACTTACCCAGTCCTCTTTATGCCAAATGGATGGTAGCTTTGGATGTTACAAAATGTAGGAGTAATTATTAAGGAAATTATGTCTCTGAAAACACACAAGTGGCTTCAGCATCTTGGCCAGTTCCCAAAGATGTTATGTAATAGGCCTGTGCAAAGTGGCTAATATTTGCTTTGCATTTGGATTCGGCCGATTTGGGGGACAGTGATTCGATGTGGTGATTCAAATCGCTGTTCCAAATCAATTTGGTCGAATCTGATTTGGAGATTCAGCTGCCGTCGAATCAGCCAAATCTCCGATTCAAACAGGCCCCATCCCCCACCCGCGCTCTCAGCCCTGTCAATGTCTGCCCTGCCCGGCCCCAGCATCCTAGCTCTTTAAAAAACAAAACAAAAAAAAAAGCCTCACAATCACAGGCTTCTGTCAGGCGGGAGGGCAATCCCTGCTGCACCCCACTGCCCCGCACTGCATGGTGGGAGCTCTGCCATGAGCCCCCAGAAGACCTGATGGTGTCTGCAGCAGCTGATGAGCGCGGGCCTTTTTTTTTTTTTTAAAGAGCCAGGATGCTGAGGCCAGGTGGGGTAGCCAGTGATACGGCTGGGAAAGCTGTTGGGGGATGCTCAGGGGACCTGGGGGAGCAGGCAGGGGATGGGGCCTGGTCTCCCCCCACCCCTACACCCCTCCCCCTACTTACTGGCATGGCGCCCGGGTCCAGCTCCCTGCAGCGGCGAGTGGGGACTACCCAAATCTCCGAATCTTCCTCCAAATCTTTTCCAGATCAATTTGGACCTTTTTATTGGTCTCCCAATTCAATCCAGATTTGGAGATTTAGCCTCCGAATCGGGCCGAATCTCCTCCAAATAGAAACAGTACCCAAAGCTTCGAACTATTGTGTAACTTTCCTTTTTTTTTCCTGAATTGTGTAACCTGTTGATAAGATGTTTTATTTTCCCTTCTAAACAGCTATTCCATAGAGTCTGCTTACAGTTACTCGTTTTGTTCCATTAAAAGAGGCCTATGTTCAGGGTTCTTTATAGTGTGACAAAGCAAAGCCAAATTTTACAGCAGCCATGCTAACTTTTGTAGCAATATAAATTTATTCTATAATCATGAAACGTTCTTTGTTCCTACCCCTCACAAAAACATGCAGAGCTGTGACTCAGAGTTAAAAATATTCATTAATGTTAGCTTTGTTGACGATTGTTGATCTCCAGGACTATTTTCAAAGATGGAGGTTTTTATCATGCCTACTAGCCAGTCCTCTTCCACTCCTTTCCATGGGAGGCTTTAACTCTCAAAATGTTTATATAACCTAACTGAGCTTCTTTCTCTTCATATGTGCTGAGTAAGGAGGGCTAGTGACCAGCTTCTGCAGTTTATTTCTTAGCTCTCCAAGTCTCTGTTGGTCCACCCTGTGCTGCCTGACTTGTCACCTTATGGTTCTGTCTTCAACTTCATGGCTGAATACTAGACTCCAGTTGATGTTCCTCAGCCCTGTGCTGCCCAGTTTCTTGGAACAGTGTAGGCAGCGTGAACTGTAATTCATTTAATTTCCCCTTTTTGAGAAGGTTGGAAAGCAAGAGGCAGCAGCCAGATGGGTTCCAGTTCAGGTGGGAAATAGGAAAAAGAGTATTTAATGGCCAGCCTTAGTAAAATGAGGAATTCTGTCACACAAAAGTTGAACTCTGTGGCAATTTAGGAAAATGCCAGATTACATAGCCATAGAATGACTCATTGAGGTGAATGAAGCAGGTCTTGCTTCCCAAAGCTCTTCTATTGTTTCATGGTTTGTGCAGACACAGGCAGATGTTACAGCATTGATTTATACTTGATTCACATTTTTTGAGCTTTTCTTTGCAAGTGTAATACCCAGAAACATAACTTCTGTCAGATTCTGCAGGGCAGTTATGCAGAAAAGGTATGACTTCCAGTTCTGTAGATACAAAATTGACAAACACAAGAGGCTGGATTTCTGCTGAAGACCTGAAAGCCCTGGAATAAGGCACTCCTGATGGCCCATGTGGAAAAAAAAGTTGTATTTAATAATGTCATTACAGAAAGTATTTTAATGCCTTTGTAGAAGGGGACAAAATTAAGGTTGCAAAACAGGGTTAGGGATAGAAGTTGCACATAAACCAGTATAAGTGATCGGAAACCAGTTCAAATCTGTAACTCAACAGCAGTTCAGTATACATAGACCAATTTTAGAGTGGCTGAAACTGGTTTAAGATAAATCTGGATGGATGTACTATCAAACTTAACTGATTCAGGTTAAATCAGTCTATTGAACTTCTGTCACAGATCCCTTCCAGTTTCAAGTTAGCTCACAGTACCCCAGCATCCCAGGATGCGTTGCACCTTCCCTGCAAACCTCCCTTTGCAGGGTGGGCAGAGTAGCCTTGGCCCAAGCTGTCTGCTCCAGTAGAGCAGGGAGGCATGCTCTAGCACCCCCCAGCTTTTCTGGCCTTGGCCATGTGCCTGCATTTCCAGAATTCAAAGTGAATGTCTGTTCACTTGCTGATTGCTTCAATCTACACTGCTTAGACTAACCTGTAAAGATTGAATCGATTCAGCCTTGGGCTTTGTGACTGTCTGTACTTAGACCAGTAGTGTAAATGCAGGGGGGAGGGGCACCAGTCTTCAGCGCCAACTTGGCGGGAGCACAAGAATGGTGTCCTCTCATACCCCCTATCTACTCTAAGGCTGACCACCTTCCTTCCCCCTTCCCATCTTATTCCCCTGCTCTCACACCTTCCTTCCCCTAGGGCTCAAGGGAGTTTTGGCCAGAGTGCAAAACTCATTAGTTACATCTCTGTACAAGTACTTTTCATTCTTACATTTCCTAATTTCTGTGTGCTTCTGTTGTCTTCCTTTTTTGATTTTCTAATAGTCTGTGTAAAACATTTTTTACTACAGGGGCCCTTCTAAACATTTGTAGATTGGACATTTATTTAATTGCCTTTTGATAACTACATGATTTTGAAAATGTTCATTGCAATGCATGCAAACAAATATAAATTACTTAAAAAGGGTAACAATCTAATATAAATTATTACAAATGTAAAATTAAGAACAGTATTTCATAAAAGGGTTGTCAGTTGGGTGCAAAGTCTGTAAAGGTACCTGGTTAATGCAGTACAAATATGCCTTTTATCACAATTTCTGAAGGGAGTAAGTTCAAGTATTGGTATCAGTTCCCAATTTTATTTTTCCCATCTCCATGAACAGTATTTTCTCACTGTTAGTTTTATTACTTACACCTTTTTTATCATAATGCTGCCATATTGTATATATGTTGTCCCATCTTAGCTTTTAATTTACACCTGTAAGATATAATGACATATATAAAAATACAAATGCATTCAGAATTTCAAGCATAGCTTTCTTAATTCCCTACTAAGTTTTCCTTTCAAGCTTTAATGAATTTAAAATAAATGCAAACAGATGCTTTGGAACATCTATACACAGGATTTGTGTCTTGTTTGCACTTTAGCAGCATGCACAGCTATATAAAATAAATATAATCTGAAGAAAAGGGTGATTTGCACAAAAGGCTTTTAAAAGGTGAAAATGGATGGGAATTAATATGTTGTTTTACAAGATAATCATATTGGATTAGTTCTCTCCTCAACTCCCATATACCTTTTACTTCTCAGGTGTTCTTAGCTTATTTCTTTTTAGATTTATATGAGTTACTTGGTGCTTTGATACTGCTAGATGTTTTTTCTCTGGGGGCAAGGGTTGTTCATCAGTCTTATTTCATTTTGTTGCAGCTGTTTTACATTCATTTCCACAGTTATACCATTGCACTCCCCAAACAATGAATACAAATAAATACTCTTTTTTTTTTTCTTTTTCTAAAGCCGAACAACAACTTATCCTTACACAGAAACCCAGATGTACAGCCAAAACACTGGGGGGAACTACTTTGATACGCAAGGAAGTTCTGCACAGGTGACAACAGTGGTCTCCTCCCATAGTATGGTGGGGACTGGAGGAATTCAGATGGGTGTCACAGGAGGACAGCTCATTAGCAGCACAGGAGGGACTTATCTGATTGGCAATTCAATGGAAAATTCTGGTCATTCAGTGACACACACAACCCGGGCCTCCCCAGCTACAGTAAGTACTTCAGAACTGTGTAAATCTTTAGAGGTAGTTTCTTAGTCCTTCTTGTGCTCTTTTATGACAATGTATGCTTTCTGAAAAAAAAATATGGAAGTAATGTGTTGACAAAAGAGTAATTATGGCCCCCATCCTGTTAACACCTGTTAATGACCTTAACTTTGTGTGTGTAAGTAATGTCATTGGCTTTACTGAGACTGCTCACATGCATAAACTTGATCATGAGCATGATAATTTGAAAGATTGGAGCCTTGGAAATTTTTCCCTGCTTTGTGGAAAAGGAACATAACTTTATATCACCAAAAATATACTTTATTTATGTATTGAATGTTATAGTTGATGTCACTATTTGTATGTATGTAAGTAATTGGATTTCATACACTGGATTTTCTGAATCCATTTTAGGTGCTAGCTTTGTAACATATTTCAACCTAGCACCTGTTCTGAATAGTCTTGTTATATTAACTGTTAAAATAATTCTGTTTATAATTATTTATGGTACCTCCCATAAGATCAGAACCCCATTGTGGTAGGAGTCTCAAACAGGTGGGAAGATGTACTCTGTTAGCCTGGTGATGGGCAACCTTATGAAAATATAATAGATATGTTCTTTTCTTTTCTTGTCTTTTCTTTTAAGAACTTAATCAGTCCTAATTCTCATTGATAAAAATGGGTTTATATTTACTGTATCCTTGCTGAATAGCCTTAATGTACATTTCTATCTACATTTGGAGAATGCTTGAGCCTGGATATAGAGATTAAAACTTAAAAGAAAAAAGTATCTGAGAAAGAGAGAGTAAACAAGGGCAAACTGAAAAATGTCTCAAAGAAGATGATCAAGACACAGAGTAGATTGATAGTACTGATGTCTGATTAATCCAAAAACTACAAAAAAAAATAAGGGATTTAGTTTTGGAGACACTAACAGTGCTTACAAACATGGGGTCAAAAAACCCCCTGCGTTTTACTTTCAGCTCGGCACACCCCTGTATTGAATGCAGCACATGCCCAGAAGAGGAATTGCATCAGTTTGTCCCAGTTTGCCCAGCATCTGTATAGCTCACATGCTTTTGCGGGGCTTTTTGGCACTTTTATCTAATAGCTGATTGAATGAATAATAATGTATTAGATAAAAGTGCCAGAAAGTCCTGCTGAAGCATGTGAGCTGTACAGACACCTGGAGAGCCAGGTCAAAATGACATGATTCTGCTGGTAAAGTGGTGTGGTCCCCCCACCCCAGTCTGTCAGCACCCTAAATCAGTTGAAACTCAGCTAACAGTATCAGTCTTTTAAATGTCACCCATTTGGAATGAGGAGCTCAGAACTGTAGCATCATATATAGCAAATGCTCTAACAAAACTGTAATAAAAGAACTGTGACTCATTGAATGAGTACCCTAAATCATAATACTCTGAAAGAGTGGGAAAACAAAGCCTCTGCCAGCAGCTGAGATTCTGTATATTTTTTGTAAACGCTAAAGGAAATACATTATTGTCTAACATTTCTATGAATTTTGCAGTACTTGTATGTAATAGGTAGTTTTTAAAGGAATAGTACTGATAAATCAGACTTTTTCAGTTTAAAAAATATATATAACCATACATTCTCTCACTTTCTGGCTTTTTCTGCATTAACTCCACCCCTGGAAAAGATGTATTTTGTAGTCCAGAACAGTGAAACTGAACAAGTTTGACATATTTGTACTTTCCAATGTCACAAGCTAGTTCTATGGTCATTTTAGTTTGACTCCTAGAGTTACAAAATAATGGTCAGAACTAGAAGAGTTTCCGATAGACAGGAGTAAGGAGGGTCTCCTACACTGACAGAAATTTGAAAATTGGTGTTCGAGAAAAATAAACTTAAAGGGCAAGTAAATTTTTGTGTTGTTTTAACTATTATATTTACATCTGAATATGAACTTCTCTTCTACTACACTCGTGGTCTTCCCTTACCTAATCAAACCAGTACAGGTATAACGCTACTTTTAAGGGGGATGAAACCATTCTGCTATTGAATGAAATAGCATGATTCCTGAATTTCAGCATTCTAAGTTGACAGTAGTATCAAATAAGTGGAAAAGGATTAGGGGCAAGCTATCAACTGATTTGATGCAAATATCAAACATACGTTTAAAATATTTTTAAAATATGGGAAAGAAGTAAGCTTAAGTTGAAATTTAACGTAATAGAAAAGTGTTACTAATATCAAAAGTCCATGTTAAATTTTGCAACTAAAAACCAAGCTGGAAAATTTTCAAAAATTAAGCAGCATTTCACAATATTTAGAAAAGACTTTTTTCCTATTATATTCTGGAATTCAACAAAGATTTGTTGGTAATTTTTGCTTAAGAGATGACACATTGCTTTTGAAAAATAATGCATTTTAAGGGCATAAATATCAATTTAAAGTTTGTTCCCCCTCTCTTCCCCAAGTGACTATATTTTTAAGCAGTATTTTTTCTGAATTTTGGGTTTTTTTCTGAAAATAAATAATTGACATGTACAGACAAAATCTTTTTTCAAGTTACTTATCTCAATTTCCCTGCTTTTGCTTCATGTGCTGTTTTTCTTTATGGGCTCAGTGTGTTCCTTTTTACATTACTATAGGAAAGGAATTTTGAAATGGGAATAAAAAAAAATACCATTAATAAATTGCATTTATATACTTGCCCTTTCATTACCAAACGAATGTTTCTCCCCTCCCTTCTCAGTATTTTTAAGATATGTTGTATTTGTTTATATGTCTGTTAAGCAAATTGAATAGCAAGTGCATTTGTTTATAATAAAATATTAATTAGGAAATTGCAAAATGTGTGTATATTTATCCATGCACGTGTGTGTATTACAAAATGTTATACAAAAAACTAGAACTCTTGGTTCCAAAATGATACCTCTTATTAGACCAACTGGAAAATGACAAGAAAATTGTCCTTTTCTGCAAGCTTTTGGGATCAAAGTCCCTTCGTCAGGCTCTGGGAAAAGTGTAGATGGTACAAGATGGTAAAAAGTTCCCATAGGTAGGAAATAAACTTCATTTTTGCACAGAGGGAGCTGAAGATGGAAGTCTGTCCCTCTGGGTCCATGAGAGTGTCTTTGTGAGCTGTGTTGAGTAGCTCTTTGATGTGTTCATCAGGTAGAAATTCCTTCCCTGGAAGTGTCAGATGGGAGGCAGGGAGGCAAAAAAACTTCCTTGTTGCTCTGCAGTGAAGTTTAAAATCCCAAATCGGCTAAAATTTAGCATCTTCCATGTCTCAGGGGTGTACTTGGTAGCCATGTTGGTCTGAGACAAACAGACATACAAAGAACTAGAACCCTTGGTTCCAAAATGATACCTTTTATTATTTTTATTACTTTTCCCAGGGACTGACGAAGGGACTTTGATCCCGAAAACTTGCGGAAAAGGACAATTTTCTTGCCATTTTCCAGTTGGTCTAATAAAAGGTATCATTTTGGAACCAAGAGTTCTAGGTTTTTGTATGTCTTTTTGTCTCAGACCAACCAAGTACTACCAAGTACTTACAAAATGTTATACACACACACAGGTATACACACATATATAAATTTATACATATATCAATATAAACATTTTGCAATTTCCTGTTTTTACATACATACATAGATACATACATATATATTAAATGTATGTATGTATGTGTGCATGATATATATGTGTGTGTGTATGCATGTATGTATATATATTATAATATAAATTTTTACTTTGGGCCCTTCTTATTTATGGATTCAACTGAAATGTAAAAGGTTAAGCTCAAACTATAAACTAATGTAAAAAACCTACTCAATTTTTCATTGTACTTAGAAGTTATAAATAAATAAGGCAAACGGTGGTAACATAGCAGTTTATTTTACTTTGGGATAGATTGCAAAGTTGACTATAGTTCACATAGCTAGAGCTCATTTCACTTGTGACCCTCATCCTAACTACATCATCATAACATTTTTTTGTATTTATCTAAAGAATTCATTTGAGAGATAAAATAGTATTCAAAATTGCTCTTTTAAGGTGCAACATCATTTTTCAAGACTTTAAATAATTTGTATAACTTTCACATGGAGATAAACAAGTGCATAGAACTTTGCTCTCTGCCATTTTGTATGCTTATCATAACCTCTACCACTTTTTTGTCATAGTTCTGTTTTACTGTTCGCTCAAGCAACTTTCTTTATATTGTTATCATTCACTTGCACTAATCAAACTATAAGTTAATGTCTGTAATAATTAGCAGAATAATTTTGTTATGGATACAGTTTGGCTGTTCCTGATTTTTTTTCATTAGATTTTTTTTTTGTTATCATAAGGGACACTGTCATGTTTAAAGTCAGGTGTTTAAAAAACAGCATCTATGCTACATGTAATTTTAACAGTATCTTCGATTAATAAAAGTGAAAAAAATCTAATATACCTTACACCCCCTTTGCTATTTACTTTTTGTGCACTTCAAAAAAATAAACTTCTAATTGACCATTTTAGGTTTCTTTTTAGACACTTTCACTTTAATGTTTTTATGTATTAATATAATCTTGAAATAATTGGGGACTGCTTAAAATTCAGGTTTGTTTTAAATCACAAAAATAATTCTATTTATATTGCCTTTTGTAAAGCTTTGACAGAATCTGAATTTGAGCCCAATGAATGTTAAGCCCAAATTACATGACATTGTCCCTTTCAAGTTACAACATGAATTGTATTAAGCAGTGGTGCTCAACCTCCAGCCTGTGGGCCATGTCACCCAGCCTGCACAGGTCCCTATAAATCCAGAAATTTGGTAGCAGGGGATTGGTGGCAGCATTAATTGCCACTTCCCTACTGCCACATTTGTAGACTTGTGGGGAATCCTGTGGGTAGGATAATGTGGCCCTATGTGCTAGGCTGTGGTGATGCATGGCCTGGATGGCACATGGGCTTGTTCCACAACGAGATCCAGGCATGCAGGGTCAGGCCAGCACACCCATTGACTGAGCCTACACAGGATCCAGCCT